TTTTTCAATAGCTTCAATTTGATATATAGCCCAACGTTCAGTGTTGAGTATTTCTGCTCATAACTCAGAAAAACTAAAATGCACTGGCTTCAATTTCCCCCCCTGAGTTAGCCTTCCAGTTTATTTATAGTTCAATGGGCCTAGGTCTAGGCTGCCCCCCCGGGATTATATACTCGTGTCCACTCCCTGACGGTGAATAATGCGTATTTCTCAACTTCCGGTTTGAGTCCCATGACGTATTCTTTGCCAGGAAGTGCCAGGAACCAAGCCTCAGTGCTTCCATTTTCAAGGAAATTTCCCTTTCTAAGGAAATTGTACTGTCGAAAAGGCAAATCTAAGGAAGATAAAAAATCTAAGGAAATCTAAGGATTTTTTCCGAGCATTTTAGTGAAGAAGGTTTCACTATTTTTTGAATTTTTGAGTGAATTATCTTTAATTAAAAATCTGTTTTTAACTTTTTCCTCGTGTTTCTGAAAATTTCCGAAAGTTTTTGAGCGATGGGATTTAGTAACTTTTGGCGCCAAACTGTGCCACACGCTGTCATTGAACTAAAATATATTTTAGTTCAATGCACGCTGTGAATGGTTAATTAATCATATCAATGTAAAGGTATCTCTTGTAAATTCATAACAAATATTTAATTTTAAACAGTAGAACAGCCTGTGGTTTTTAGCTTGCCCACATCTTTGTTCATTGTGCTATTTTGTGCCTTGAAAAGTAATTACATTCTTTGTATTGCTACAAAGATCACTGCAAACTGCTTCATGAAATTTCAAGGAATTTTCAAGGAAATAACATATACAATATAAGGAATTTAGAGAAATTTTGATGACAAAAATGAGAAATTTTGATTTTAAAAATGGAAGCACTGCCAAGCCTGGACATTCAGCAACTTTCTAGCTTTCGATTTAGTCCAAATTTCATCAAATTTACGGCCTTTTTATCGCCTTGGAGAGAACTCTATTCGTGCAGATAGTTTTTGAAAGGTATGAGATCGTTGGCTTTCTTCAAAGACGCGTTTTCCGTCTGAAATATGCGTTAGAAAGTGACATTAATTCACTGGTCTGATTATATACATTTTTATACATGGTTTAAATCATTAGTTAATATAGCGTAATGATTGTAAAGAAAGCTTTAATTGTTGGGCTGTATATTAAGTGATATAATTTTGTGGCATAAATTACTTCTAAGATAGCCATGAGATTGTCATTTATGTACAAATTTGAAGGGCTGACAAAGAGCATGTTTTTATATACCGGTACAGCTAGGTCACAGAATGGTTGGTTTCGCTATAAAGCACTGTCATAGGGCCATTCCATTTAATATACACACCCCCCTGTGGACGAAAATTTCTGAGGGGGGTTGAAAAAGCCGTTTCTGAGGGGTTGTGTGCATTGGCATCCTTTGATTTTTGCGTTTTTTCCGAGGGGTAAGGCAAAAATTTCTTAATTTCTGGAGTGGTGTTTGTGTCGGCACTTTGATCTTTTTTTCTTAGGGGTTCAAATTTTATTGACTTCGTCCACAGGGGGGTGTGTACATTAAATGGAATGGCCCATAGCTTGTTGGTGCTAGCAAGTTCACTAAAGAGGAGCTGCCATCCTGTTCGTGCATTAACTAGGAGCATTAGGGCATGACGTCATAATCAGTTATCATAATCGTCAATCTTTGCATTTATTATTTAGCAGATCATCAGAATGTCTTGTCGTGGAGAATTTGGTAGTCATAGGGCTCATGGTAAGATTTGCTTTGCATAAATATAATAGTAAAAATAATAAAATTTGATTTAAAGTAAAATTGTCTGGCGTTAGACAGTCGGAGTAAAATAATAACGGAGGGGCACAACTTAACGGTTAACCCATTAAGCGCCAGTGCTCTCCCCTTCACACGTAAAATCATCTGGCGTTATACAGAGTAAAATAATAAAGTAGGGCGCATCAGGGCGCACTGTGACTCAATGGGTTAACTCATGGGCAGATAGGCCAGTTAACCCATTAAGCATCAGCACTTGCCCCTTGACGTATAAAATCATCTGGCGTTAGACAGAGTAAAATAATAAAGTAGGGTGCAATGCGACTCAATGGGTTAACTACAGGGTTCGAATTGTAGCGGCCTGCTATTCGCAATTTGCGAATGCAAATTTGCTTTTTGCGAACACAACATCAGCCATTTTGCGAATGACGTTTTGCAAAAAAGAATGTGTTAAAGGTAGCCAGCGTGGCCGGCTCTTTTATAAGAAGAACCTGCCCGAAAGCCCTAGTAAAATTGATCACACCTACTTAGTTAATATTCCATATTAACACCGCCCACTTGAAATAGTTTTGTATAAATGTGACATAAAATGTCAGTTGTTGCTTTCAATAAACTTTTTAATTAATGGATAGATAGCGATTCAACTGCCTGGAAAATACAGGCAAAAAACGTTGACATTTCGAGCGAAGGCCCTTCGACTTTGTCTGGAAATTAATAGTAGACGAAGACCGTCCAAAATTATATTATGCTTTGCACCTGCCGTGGCTGTACTACAGTTATAAATATATTTTTTTATATATAAACTTTATTAATAATATGTTTGCCTCAAAAGCCAAGGCTTATCAAGGTGGCGCATATTGATATTCTATTGCAGTAATAAATATAATAAATGACTTAGGAAAAAGTAAATAGACCCCTTCCCATGTTATATACACGCAGGTTGGTATTTTAAAAGCTTCAAAGAGAGCTTCATATTATTATGGTGTAAACACAATGGGGAATGTATTATTTTACATAATCGTAATTTTCCAGCCAGCAAAATATAAACAAGGCAAGAACAGCCAAGGTTTTATACTCTATACTGTAGTGGCCATACAATAAAATCATACGACATACTGTATGCAGTAGGAAAATTGCTGATTACTGAGACCGATTATTTATAAGCCGATTATCGTAAGTAATGGGCCAATTAATCGGTACCCGCCGATTATTTTAAAAAAACAAGCGAAAAATCACAAGACGACCAACAATGAAGTTGTAAATGCGGTTTTATTGTTACAATACACATTATGTACAATTGAAAACAGCTTCAATCTTGCATGTCTATAGTCAAAGTTTAGTTTTGGCAGATTATGGTGTAGAAACAGGATACTGTCAGCTTTGCTGAGCTAGTCTGACTGCGTTTTTCAGTGGAAATGTTCCCAGCTTCACTTCGCTCGAGACAAAAGACACAGGTTTTGCAACAAAATGTGAAAATCTATTCGCTTGTATTCAGTATTTTAGCATGTGCTTGGCAGCTACAGAAAAAAGTCTTATGGCCGATTATTTGCCGATTATCAAACAACAATCGGCCGATTACCGATTATTTAAAAAACAGCCGATTATTTACCGATTAATCGGCTCATCCCTAATATGCAGTAATAGCAGTATGGCTTGCCTTATTCTTTTTAGATACCGGTATATGTTACACAATATTTTACACTTTGTCTTTTGAATTTTATATTTTAGCTGACAGGTTTACGCTTTAATAGCGATGCCGTTTGTTTTTACTGTATTTTAATAGTTTTAATTGTTTGAATAAATTAGCGTAATATGTCAATCAACCTGTCGTCAACGTAAATTCAGCCAATCACAATAGACCTTTCCCCTTTTAAGTGAGATTTTCATCTAGACAAGTCTGGACAAAAATTTCATCACAGCTTGAAAGAGCATCACAAAATTATTAATATTCCAAAGTTTCGTTGCAAAATGTTGTTTTAATGCGGATAATATAGTCTTGCGAAGTTTGCCGTTTTTCAGTCATTTTGTATTACAAATGGGAAATTGATAATCAGATGACCAAACTGATTATCAATTTCCCGTTTGTAATACAAAATGACTGAAAAAACGGCAAACTTCGCAAGGCTATATTATCCGCATTTTACAACATTTCGCAACGAAACTTCGGAATATTACTAATTTTGTGATGCTCTTTCAAGCTGTGATGAAATTTTTGTCCAGGCTTGTCTAGATCAAAATTTCACTTAAAAGGGGAAAGGTCTATTCTCGGCAGCTGGCTGCCGAGAGTGATCAATTTTACTAGGGCTTTCGGGCAGGCTCTTCTTCAATTATCTGCCCTATAAAAGAGCCGGCCACGCTGGCTATGTTAAAGGTTGATTTTCACAATCACTTCGAATGTAGTTTACTATAATGTAAGATATGGTGTATTGTGCCGACTATTATTGTAATTTTGTACTAAAAGGATGTGTGAAATGAAGAATTACTGTAGGCACATCAACATGGGCAGATAGGCCAGTTCACCCTTTAAGCATCAGCGCTCTCCCCTTGACATCTAAAATTGTTGAAAATAATAAAATAGGGCACATCAGGGCGCAATGTGACTCAGTGGATTAACCCGGCCATTAAGCGCCAGCGTCTTCCCTTGACGAGTAAAATCGTCTGGCGTTAGACAGAGTAAAATACTAAAGTAGAGTGCATCAGGGTGCAATGCGACTCAATGGATTAACTAGACACATGGGCAGATAGGCCAGTTAACCCATTAAGCGCCAGCGCTCTTCTCTTGACGAGTAAAATCGTCTGGCATTAGACAGAGTAAAATACTAAAGTAGAGTGCATCAGGGTGCAATGCGACTCAATGGGTTAATGGACCAACATTCCCCAATTAACCAAAATGTTGATCTCAACAAGTCTAGACAAAATTCCATCATAGCATGAAAGAGCATCACAAAATTAGTAATATTCCAAAGTTTCGTTGCAAAATGTTGTAAAATGCGGATAAGATAGCCTTGCGAAATTTGCAATTTTCAGTCATTTTAGATCACAAACGGGAAATGGTTACCACTTTTCCAAAATTTTGATCTTAACTAGTCTAAACAAAAATTTCATCACAGCTTGAAAGAGCATCACAAAATTAGTAATATTCCAAAGTTTTGTTGCAAAATGTTATAAAATGCGGATAATATAGCCTTGCGAAGTTTGTAATTTTCAGTCATTTTGTATTACGCACAGAAGTGGTAACCATTTCCCGTTTGTAATCTATAAAATGACTGAAAATTGCAAACTTCGCAAAGCTATATTATCCGCATTTTACAACATTTCGCAACGAAACTTTGGAATATTACTAATTTTGTGATGCTCTTTCAAGCTGTGATGAAATTTTTGTCCAGACTGGTTGAGTTCAAAATTTTGGTCAATTGGGGAATGGTCCATTAATGATAGAAATTTACACTTTTCCTTTTCTTTTGTTAGACGATTATGGAGGTACTAGCTCTGAATACGAACGTTTAAGTAAACAAGTTGGTAATAATATTCAACAAATCAGCAACAATGGTAAGGACTTGTTTCGTCACTAGTGCATGATGAATATGCTTTTAGAAATATTTATAGCTCCGCTAAGGCATAAAAAAATACCTGTGGTTCCGGTTTCATATCGTGAAAAAATTAGGGTCGGTAGGTCGGAAATAATTTTTTTTTTAAAATATTTTTTTCATGGTTTTGGCGGTTTTTTGTTGGGCGATTTGAAGTAGAATCCCGACATCAATATTACAGGTAAACTACGTGAAGCGTTCCTCTTTTGACTTCGTAACTCATTTGGAATTTTCCTCGTTAGCTTTGCAAATTTGAAAAACTCTTTGCAAATCCCTTGAGGGAATTTGCAATGTTCCTATCGGCTGTTGCAATATTCCAAACTTCATTTTAAATTTTCCTAACTTCCTGTTTTAATTTCCTAACTTCCTGTTCTGTTCTGAGCGTTGTTATTGGTCGATTATTTTTGTTAGCCAATTACAACGCCCAGAACAGAACAGGAAGTTAGGAACTTGTAACAGGAAGTTAAGAACTTCTAACAGGAACTGAGGAAAATTTTTTTGGCTTTTAGCAACATTGCAAATTCCCTCAAGCGATTTGCAAGGGAGTTTTTTAAATTGCAAAAGTAATGAGGAAAATTGCAGTCAATTTAGAAACTCAAAAGAGGAACGCTTCACGTAGTTTACCTGTAACTAGAGATGCGTAATTCCTATGGACGAATTTAGGCAATTTGGTTCAGTAATCCACACCGCAACCCGTATGAGCAGCCCGCAACCACCTGGAGAAAATAGGGTCGCACGGTCAATCGCGTTGAAAAAATAATAGGGTTGGCAGAAAAAAATAGGGTCGGTCGGGAACCGGAACCACAGGTATCTTTTTACGCCTAAGTCAGTTCTACAATTTTAATGAAACTTTTAGTAAATGTGATGCAAAAAATGGTGAAGAAACTTGGAACGACGGAAGATGCGATGCAAGTTCAGGACAGACTGTGAGTGTGTGTTTGTGTTTCATTGATGATGACCAATGACTACTTTGCGCGACTTTAATCTCGCGATTTTTGTGATTGTAAAAAAATCACGAGATTAATTAAAGTTGTGCACCAGGTTGGAATCCGTCAAAATTCTTTGCCGGATGTTACACCCATAGATATCTTATATACACTAGATAGTGCATCTAATTATTCTGCAATTCAAAAATTGAAGCCGTGATTGCAGTCTCAGGTCGTTCCCATGCAATGAGAAGATTCGTATGTTTTCTATTTCTTAAACAGGGAACTTAAACATTAAGTTAACCCTATTCCAAATACGTTTTTAAACTATTCAAATGATGAAAGTTATTGTTGGTTTTAAGCGTTTATTAGCAAGTGGGAACGACCAACATGGCCGCCATCTATTCAAATGGGGGTAACCGCTGGAATATTCTTGGCTTCAATTTTACTAAAAGAGATGCGCTATCTAGTGTATATAAGATATCTATGGTTACACCAAACTTTGTGAACAAACCTGGGTTGTGCAGGGGATAAAAAACCTCGTGAAATTTACACATGCGAAGTTAAATACGCCAGTCAATTTATAACAAATTATTTGGCAATAGTCTTAGTATTATTAGGTACAGTTTGTAACTTTGTCTTCTTAGGCGAGACTTTTTTTATTCATTGGTTTACGGATCCGCCGACCGTAAATATTCAGAAAGTGAAAAATAAAAAAAAATTTGGATGTTAAAAATTTTACAATTTTAGTTAATTTTAATTAATTTGGGGTTCTGACATGAAGTACACTTCAAGTGAACTTTGACTCTAGGTACTGCTGGCTCATGTTATCGTTGTGACAATCAATATGTAGATTAGCCAGGTTTTTTGCGTGTTTTTTTTTGAGTTGACGTTAAAAATTTTTATAAAGATTATTAATTTCGGCTCTCATTTATACTCAATTCGTTTTTTTTAAATTTTTTTTTCCGACCTACCGACCTCTTATTTTTAAAGTAAAATTTGTAAACCAATAAATAAAAAAAGTCTCGCCTTACTGGCAAGATATATGAATAAAATGAGGGGTAAAAACATTGTGGACTACATTTTGAAGGTTGTAGTTCGGATTTTTATAGAAAATAAAATGTTGTTCGGAAGAAATCTTTCTCGAAATGTAATGCCCTCTTTCTATTTCCACCTATCAAAATCCCGAAAATAAGGCCTTGCAAAATATTGCCTGAAAAAATCGCGAAATTAAGTACGCACAAAATCAAGTACGAATATGGTAAAAATTCTTCATGAAAATTTCAAGGCTTGCTAATTTTCTGAATATACAGTATTAAAAGAATTTCTTGTCATATTTTTTTGGCATGTCCTTTTGGTACAAGTGTAAGAATAGTAAATATCTATATTTACTACGTACATGTAATGGTTTTTAAAGACAAATGTTGTGGCCCCCGTGACCCCACCCTGAATCACTTGGCTTCATCATAATTGATGTGCAATGGACCATTCCCCAATTAACCAAAATTTTGAACTCAACAAGTCTAGACAAAAATTTCATCACAGCTTGAAAGAGCATCACAAAATTAGTAATATTCCAAAGTTTAGTTGCAAAATGTTGTAAAATGCGGATAATATATTCTTGCGAAGTTTGCAATTTTCAGTCATTTTAGATTACAAACGGGAAATGGTTATTACCACTTCTGTGCATAATACAAAATGACTGAAAATTACAAACTTCGCAAGGCTATATTATCCGCATTTTACAACATTTTGCAACGAAACTTTGGAATATTACTAATTTTGTGATGCTCTTTCAAGCTGTGTTGAAATTTTTGTTTAGGCTAGTTAAGATCAAAATTTTGGAAAAGTGGTAACCATTTCCCGTTTGTGATCTAAAATGACTGAAAATTGCATATTTCGCAAGGCTATATTATCCGCATTTTACAACATTTCGCAACGAAACTTTGGAATATTACTAATTTTGTGATGCTCTTTCATGCTATGATGGAATTTTGTCTAGACTTGTTGAGATCCAAATTTTGGTTAATTGGGGAATGGTCCATTAAAAAGCAGTATTTCTACTGTGTTTTCCAGGCAAAAAACAGAGAAGACAACAAAATCGCTTGCCAGTGAAACCAGCTCAATGATAAAACAGCTTTCTTTGTTAGAAGCAGATGACCCTAATGAACAGGTAGAGCTTGCTAAAATGAGCTTGGACCAAACATCACGCCACATTTCATTAATTTTACGTACCTGGTACTCTACACTGTGTTTATTATTTTAGAGACAAAGAAAAGTTCAAATCAGCAGACTTCGGGATAATTTCATGAGTGCATTAAATGACTTTCAAAATGTTCAAAGAGTAAGCTCATATTTTTTGTTTACTTTTCAGAACTTGGTTTTTCAAGCATTATATACCCTTTATTATTTTCTCTTTCTAAAGCCAGATGATTTTACTTGTTTTGTTGTTAGGAAGCCGCAGAGAGGGAAAGAGCGTGTGTTTCACGAGCGAGAGCGGCGTCACATTCTGATAACCTTGTCAATGTAATGTATACATCTTGTGCATTTAATAAGCAGTCTTCGCAATTTTAATAAACCATTGCGAACAAAACATTGCTGATGATATTTTACAGTTTACCTGCAGTTCGACTGCAATTTTGTCCCAAAATGACAATTTTAAGATGTATGTTTTTAATTAAAAACAAGACGCCTGCTCGGGCGTTCACACTGGCCTCGTGGTTGGTAAAATACCATCGCAATACTCTAAAAAATAATTTCAAACATGTAGATGTTCTTCACTTCTTGACGGCCGTCACTTCATGATCACAAACGCTTTACAGTCAACTCGGCCCACTAACCAACTCGGCCCACCGTTCAAGGAACAACTCCGCCTGCTCGTAAACTGACTAATCTAACCATTAAACAAGCTAGGAGCCATGACTGCATTCTATCTTTGCAAATTTTGAGAGAGATTTGAATGATCAGTAATTTAGTATCAAAACGGACAGATTGTGAATTTAAAACTTCGATAGATTCTTTATTTTAATTAAATTAAGTCAAACTGGATGTTCTCAAACTTTACTCCAATGCAACTGCAAATGGCTGTATTCGTTTGGTCCTATCTTTTGTAAAATATTAGCTTTCCCAATATGTCAAACAGTAGTTAACAATTGGACCAAGATGGTATGGGCCGAGTTGGTCAGTGGGCCGAGTTGACCAGCTTCCATCACAAACATTCAGAGGACAGAAAAGTTCAAGCTCATGCGCAATGAAATATAATAAATACGTCCCACAATCACAGCGTCTAAGATTTGTAACGTAGTTAAACACGAAAGTCGTTCTATTAACATTGTGTAGAATTGGTCCTAATAATCGTCGTGAGCATGTTTTAGCTGAATTGCGCAATCCTGAGCCCACGATGCCGCAATGGAAAGTCACACTTGCGACAACAAAAAACCCCCCGAAAAAGACAGCATTTTCAAGCAAGGCTCAGCACTGGCTGCGGCCAGTGTCATTAATAGTTTGAAATTAATTAGTGTCTTAATGATTGTTATCTAGTTTGGTCAGTCGGAATCAAGCGGAATTTCATATGATCAGTAAGTAATGTAGAAAGAACAGTTTATACAAATGATAGAGTTGCACTTTTTGAAAGAAGTAGTTGTCTATGTTGTGCCAAGCGTACCACTCGCATGGGGGGGGGGGGGATTTGAAGAGTATTGTGTAAAATTTATGTTACCAAACAGCGAAAAATTGCCAGCAGGGTGTTAGCTAGCCCATATACTGTCCGTTTGACGGACTCTCCCAACTGAAGTAGCTAAGGGGCTTTCCCAACTGGGTCTACTGGAAAATTTTCATTTTTTCTGATGAGAAAGTGCATTGCGTTTGATTTTATATTATTATATCAAAGAACGTTTTATTTACTTTTTCCCATTAACTATTTTCTCAAAATGTACCGCGCTTCATTCATATTGGGTGTGTATTCACTGAAATGAAATGTACAAAACAAAGTGTAATCTGTGTAAATCCGTGTTCTTTCACTGGAAATGAAATATACAAAACGAAGTGCCATCTGGTGCATATTTCAGTGTTCATTCACCGGAAATGAAATGTACAAAACCAAGCTACCGTTGTTTTCATCTAAGGAGAAACACGTTGGAAAAAAACACTATTTATTCCTACACAAGGACTTTGATCGGTCAAGAAAACTTTCCCAATTTACGTTTAACGGACAAAACTTTTTTTCTGGCTAACACCCTGGCCAGACTGCCGGCTTCTATTGAGAACCCTGGTCAGGGGTCTCTAAAGTTAGGACAGTCGCAGGCACATATCAGAAACAATACGAGTTTCTTGCGGGCACATTTCCTAAAACAGAAGATATCAAATAAAATTTATCTTTTTGTATTTCTTAATTATCACTTATCAATTAAAATCTGTAGAGTACAACTACTACATTTTGGTCCATCATTGTTCATGAAAGTCTGGACGTGTTCAATCAGTTGAAGTTTCTATTTTGTAAAGTCATTGATGAAAACCAGGGGCGTAGGAACCGGGAGGGCCAAGCCCCCCCCCCCCCAAGTTTTCAGAAAAGTGAAAAGTGTTGTTCAGATTGCATTTTTTATGATTGCAATTATTTTTCCCTTGAAACCCCCCCCCCCCAATCTTTTGGTGCTTCCTACGCTCCTGATGAAACCTGCCAGTTATGGACAAACAACTTCAGTCATTAACATTTGATCAGGGCTGCAAATAAATATTTGACTTGACAGGACATTTGTCCGATCACTTTTAATTTTGGTCGGACATAACTTGAATTTGGTCTGACAAAAACCAACACCACTAAATTTGGTCGGACATATATACATCACAAGATATATATAAGTCACGAGACAAGTATGTATAGCCATTCCGGCGCAATGTTACTGTAAGTAAAATGCTAGAATACCTTGTAAATGTTATTGCAAAATGCAAATTGAGTGAACTTGCAATCGGATTTTGTCACAGCACAAAAATGTATAATGTGACAATTTTTTTGTGATCGGACCAATGTCCGATCAAAATTACTTTTGCTCGGACATTTGCCAAATTTAGTCGGACATTGTCCGATGTCCGACAGTAATTTGCAGCCCTGTTTGATAGTAGTTAATTTTACTGGAAAACTTGCACAAAATCATGAAGAACTGTACAAAGGCCGCTTACAATAGTCATTAATGGCATTTAGCATTCTTCATGCCGACATTTTGCAGGCACATTTTCAATAACTTTTGCGGTCCCAGGCATGCAAAAATGTTATAGACCCCTGACCCTGGTTATCCAGATATGTTAGTTTTGTTTGTTGATGAATTGTAAACATTGTAAAATCTTTTCCCAGCAGAAATCAATCCACAAACATTCAGATTCAACAAGAAGATGAGGTTTCGGTTGAATTGATCGAAGAACGAGAAAGAGCGATCAGACAGCTTGAGGTTTGTAGACTTAGCGAATCTTAAAAATATCCACGTTATAAAGGCCCCAGCAACCATTTTTATGCCACAGACAGCTCAAGATTATCTCCAGTGAACTAACCAACGTACACACACTTTATTCGACAGAGTGATATTATGGATGTGAACGAGATATTCAGAGATTTAGGAACCATGATTCATGAACAGGGCGAAATGATAGGTAAGGAATCAATATCGTTCCCCGAGCCTGCGATCCTCGGAAAGGAACGTGAGGTTCAGGGCTAATCCGTTGCCGGAAGCCAGGAATTCTGGCTGAGACCGAACTGCGCATTCCATATCAACGGCCAATCAGATTCCTCCCTGAAACGGATTATCCCAGAGCCTCGCGTTCCTTCCCGAGGATCGCAGGCTTGGGGAACGAGATTGGTAAGGAATATTTCATGCACTTCAATTAAATTGGAAAAACTCGTCTCCAATCTCTGCTGGCGGCTCACTATAGGTAGAGTTAAAATCCAGCTCAAGTGAGCCTACACCTATGATTTCGGCAGCTTAAAGGCGGTTTTCCACTAGGCGAAATTTTTCGATCGAACCGAAATTTCTATTGTTCAAATTCAAAAGATTTCTGTTTAGTTCCATCTGAGTGCTTGTAAGACAAAAGAAAATTTCGATTCGGTCGAAAAATTTCGCCTAGTGGAAAACCGCCTTAAATTTTAGGTTGTGCTGAGTGGTTAGGGGCCAACCATTTAACTTTTGAGGGGGGGGGGGGGTGATTTTGAAAAGAAATTTCCTGCAAGGCTATTCTGGACAAAAAAAAAATACCTGCACTAACAAACTGGGAAAAAAATATCCTGCCCCAGTATTTGGTGGGAAAAAAAATGTTGCAAAACAGCATGGTTGCAGGGATCGATTTGACCAGTCCCAGAAGATCAGGTTAATTTCTTGTTGGAAAACTCCTCAAAATGCTGGAAATAGCTTATCTGAGCTTCAAAAATCCAAAATTTTCTAGGGGGGGGCATGCCCCCAGACCCCTCTAGAGGCTCGCACCTTCGGTGGTCGACTCAGTTGTTGCTGCCCTATGACGTATACTTATTAGTTAAACCATGCATATATATGCTGTAGGTAGCTGCAGTGATACAGACAGGGCTGTAGCAAGGGGGTATTGGGGGTGGTTAACCCCCCCCCCCCAACTTTTTTAGAATCAACATATTCAGAAAATCGGGTTGGCCATTCGGAAAATTACGGCAATTATTTAATAGTAGAACAAAATTTTAGTTGTTAAAAAGAGAAAATATTATAAAATTGTATTGTCACTATAAATTGTAAGCAAATTGTAAATTTCGTCATACTAAAACGCTTTTTTCTGACCATCAGCATTCTGTCAAAACTTCCCCAAAATCCAGGAAATGGCATTTCAGAGACTCGTAATTTAAAAATTTGCCCTCGTTTTCTGCCCCCAATAAACAAAAGCTCCCTACCGCACTGCTTCTGTAATATGTCTGTGCGTAAATTATGCATATTTTTGTTAATTGTAAATTGCGTCTTCATTTTCCGAATAGCAAACACCTTCATGGCTAATAGTATGCCATGATATATTCGGAAATTATTTTCGTCATTCGGAAATTTTTGGCCTACACCCCCCCCCCCCAACTATACATGCTAGCTACGGCCCTGGATACAGACTTGCCGACTGGAATCCCACTAATTATGTCCTCTCCAGTTGCACATCCTTAAAAAAGGCACTGAACCAAATGTTCTGATACCTCATAGCAAAATGTATTATTAAGAGCAATGCATGAAGCTAAAAAACTCAACGTTAACTATAATCTAAATAGTATAAGCTATTGAAAAAAAAAATGCTGCGAAAGAAAGTGTGGCAAAAAAAAATCGTACATGGTGATGGTGATAAAAAAAATATCTTGCACATAACGATCCCAGAAAAAAATTCCTTGCCAGCAGTAAATCACCTCCCCCCCCTCAAAAGTTAAATGGTCGGCCCCTAATGAGCCCTGGAATGCGTAAAACGTTATAGCAGAGCATTTTTATGCATGCATTGCAAATTAATTGAAATTTGTTCCGCTAAAATAACACAGAATGGAATGCATGAGTATAATTGACTACGTACAGTATAACGTTTTACGCATTCCAGGGCTCATTAGGGAGTTAAAGCATTCAAATTCGAACATGCGGCACTAGCGCTTGACTTCAAAGGGCAGTCTTTTTTGGGGGACACACTGTATACGTATAGTATGCATGGCAGATTGTTCCCAGGAGCAGACAATCTTTTGCTTAAACGTTATTTCAATTTCTAAAGGTCTCCTTTTTCTAATATATTATATGCACTCATCAATATTTCACGCCTACGGTTCAGCATATGTGTAATTGAAAAGGCATTCAAATTTTAACAATATGCTTGATTTCTAAAGGTCTCCTTTTCTTTATTCACCCTGTAGAAGAGACATTGCTGATGACATTATCATATTTGGGGGCACTAGAGAAGAGCGCTAGCATGACCATGACTTTAAATTAAACAAATGTCTTGCTCGATTACAAGAGCATAATCTTGCTCTTACATATTCTGGGGAAATGCAAATTTACTAAGACAATTTAAACCTCGAACAACAGAACACAACAGAACACAACACAACACAACACAACACAACACAACACAACACAACAACACACAACACAAGAACGCAACGCAACACAACGCAACACAACACAACACAACACAATACAACTTTATTTCACTCTCAGATAGAAAATATACATAAATAATACACAATTCTTAAATAATTGATACATAGATAGAATTTATGTTTTAAATAACATTTTTAAAGCTTGGAAGC